AACATCACTCTGACTAAGATAATACTGTGAACATTATCTCCGTATATTATTTATCAAACGTGCTTTTATGTTGGCCATAATTTCATATATCTCCATCAAATTTAATGATTCAGACACCATTGTAAATCTTGTTAGCCGCTAATGAAGAATATAGTAGAAGTAGAATAATGTTAAAGAAAATTTATGACAACGCCGTCTATATATAAAGATTGCAGAGTTGACAAAGATTTACCGTTATTATTCACAATAAGATATCTTCCGTTGATAAATGCGTACATGTTTATACTTTTTTTTACTATTCGGTGACTGATCTCATTAGTTTTCTCTTTAATACGTTTAACAAACAGTTGAACACAGTAAAGACATAGAAACGGTAAAGTTCTTTATCATAGAAATTCTTACCCAGCTGAGAGTCAAACCCGCTACGGTACGAAAGCCTAGCGCTGCCTTGAGGATAGGCAACGGTATGTGGGAGTTACGGGATACCCACTAAAAACCCCACGTTGCCCCTGCACTGTCGCTTTGACGGGGACACGGGAACACAAAAACGCAATCTTCCGCGAACCCCGGCGCAACTGTGGCCGTCTCCGGCCCCTCTCCGGGTGTTTGGACACCCGGTCCAGCCAAATGGTGCCGTGTCGGTGCAATGAACACGGCACCCCTTTCAAGCCCTACGCGGTGCAGCGGTTTGTCCCATCGTCTCTGTCATCTGCCGCCCCGGGGCGGAAGCCTGGCCTAGGCCAACCGAGTGCCCGTTATTCGTCCTGTGTATATAGATCGTTTAGTCATTTCTGGTGGTAAAACCCACTGAACTGGAAAATAACTACTTAACTAATCGAGATGCCTTATTTTTTTTATGTGATAAGTTGGTCGACAAGCTGTCGGTTCACCTTATGTTAAGTGGTAACCGCCGCCCATGGACATTTGCAACACTCGTAGTGTTGCAGATGCGTTGCCTCCTTCTGATTAAGTAGCCCCCGGCCAAATCGCTTACCAGTCGGAACGCAGAAGTATAACACTTGCACCTCACGCCGGTCTTCTGTGAGGTCGTGGTACTTCCCGGACGCACTTGCCTCTTTGTTCAACAGCGAGGAGGGTTGCGTGGCCCTACCGCGTAAAAATAACTTCGAGAATAAAGTAATGGCCTCAGGGGCATCTCGAGACGGGAATTGTCTAATCGGTCGCGAAGAGTGCAAGTGAAGTGTTGGTCGATTTCATCGCCGTTTATCCAATGAGTGAATGTGTTCCATAGACTTGGTATTCGGACCCGTCGTAGATTCTGGTTTGTTTGAACTAGATTTATCACGTGCTCAGCGGTGAAGGTAAACATCGTGAGGAAACTTGCACATTTTCGAAATAGTTAACAACAATAAGAAATATATTCGAAAATATGTGAAGTCCACCAATCCACAGTGGGGTCGCGTGCCGGACTATTCCCTATTACCTTCTGTACAGAAGGCAAAGCTGGGCAAAGGCCCCCCTTTGCCCAGCAGTGGAACATACATATATGGGATTTAACTTTACTGTTACTTTGGAACAATTTCATCGCCATGGGTTTGTTATACGCATCGGATGGGTCAATCACCAGATTTAACGCTACGTTTTTGACAGTTTTAAGGCGTTGACTCTTAAAATTTCTGGATTAAAGTATTAACGTAGGTTAATAATTTAATCCAGAAATTTTAAATAAATTTCAATTGGTGTTGGTCGATTTGAAAGCAAATAACATTAGTTATCTGTCTGTAATTTCACATCTAAAATATCGAACACGCTTACATTTCAAATTCTTGTAGATACGTAAAAATCGTTTGTAAGTTATTTTTTTTAATATTTTTTTAAAAATAGTTTTTTTTAAATTGAAGAAGCAAGCTAGTTTCATGGATACTAATTACTTAATAACTTACGTTTCTATCGATTCATTCTATATCGTCCGTTTGAGTTTATTGATTTATCGGATACTTTTTTTCTGATCTGCGTCCGGAGCTGTTGTGATTAAATTTTGTAATTTACTAGCTGGACATGGATGTACGATACATTTATAACACGCAGTAATTTTAAACATCATTGTTACTTTTTAAATTGTTAAATTTTTATAATTTTTGAGTGTCTTAGAAATAACACATATAAGAATCAATTGAAATCTATACAGTTTTTCCGTGATACTTACACAACGCCAGACCTCTATCATTTTTTTTATTATACCTACATATAGATAATATGATCTCGTATATTTGACACTGTTTCTGTGCGTAGCCCAAATGCTTGTGGGCTGTTAATAATCCGCGGGAGGTACTCCTTTGTTGCTATATGAATCGTCCGGTCTTTCCGTTCTGTCTTTGAATGGTCGTTCATTCAATGTTGTCAACAATAGCTTGTCTGACGCATTTGCAAGGTATTGGCATCCGCGCATCGGGTAGCGTGTTCGATTCCAACTCGTTCTGGGCATTTGTCCATAATAAATTTGTTTGAAAAAAAGCAATTTATAACATCGACTCGGTCATATTAATTCTGTGATCTTGTCGAAGTATCATGACGTCATACAAGACCAGTTTTTGTATCGTCACAAAAAGTAATAAATAGTTATATAGTTGATTTTGAATGCAAAAAATTGCTATGTTAATAATTTTGAGGAAGTCGGTGCTTTTAATGATGATGTAGCTATGTCAACCCCATTTTTATCTTAACCGACTTATTTCACGATTAGAACCACAATGCTTACCGTCCGACATACCGAGGTTCTTTGAGCGGCATACCTCCTGTGTATCAAATGAGGCTCTTAAACATTGCCCTTACTTTAGGATAACATTATCCTGTGTTGTAGGGACGTTTTACAAACATAAATTTCACGTGGACAAACACCCAGATGCGAAACAACTATCTGTGGTTCACATACCAATAGTTGTCCCGTGTGGGAATCGAACCCACGACCCCCGACGCCGAAGCCAATACCTTGGCAACTGCGACACGGAGTCATCGTATTAAACATAGACAAACATTCAGAACAATTATTCCTATGGCGCAGCAGCCTCGGCAGTTGCATGAATGGGCAGGCTCGTCCGGGTAAGTACCATGGCCTCACAGAAGACCGGCATAAAGTGGAAGTATAAAGGCCCATTTACACGATGCCATTTTCTTGTACATACCATGGTGGTACATGGGTATCCCATGTACCACCATGGTATGTACAAGAGCAATAATTGAATGCAATAAATTGCGCGCAATAATTGTTTAGACCATTTGTTGTTTAGACCATGCAACTCATTTATTGCTTCAATTTAATCGTAAACAACAGGCAAGAAACTGGCACCATGTAAATGGGCCTTAATACTTTCGCGTTTCTTCTGGTGAGTGAGGTGTCCGGAGCCCAATTTTCATAAGGCTGTCAACGCATCTGGAACCCTCCAGGTGAACCATCTGCTCGCTTGGCAACTTTTAAAAAAAATAGTAATCGAACTGAAACTTTGTGGTGTACCACAAAGGTTGAAAGGCTATATCAATTTAATGGCACAAATTATTTATTCGAAAGATACTCAAGAAAAAAATGACCGCTAGAGACAGCAGCAATTTTAAAATTGTGTCTCCTCCAATACAGCATTGCCCCACTTATAAAGAATTATCTACTTACCGCACAATGTATCAATCATCCAATTTGATGGCCGATCTTATTTTCGGCTTTAACTGCTCCGTTGAGAAATCTTGTATAAAATTAAATACTTGACTTAATCGAAACTAGTAAAAGTAATAGACGTTCCGTGTTAGCAAGACTTTCACTCATTTAACTTTGATTTGCGTATCAAAATGGAACTAACATGATTCAGAACTTGTTGGAAATAATACAAATATTGAACCGAATATATTTTTTTAAAGGTAAAGAAGTTTCAAACTCCAACACGAGATCAAACTTTCCGATATTTTCTTGTGAATTCACCCAACCACCTTCTACTGATTCTCCTTATGTTGTTTTCGCCGGGAAACCGGGTATAATTGCGTGAGGGTTGGCAACGCATCCGTACACCACCGATTTTGAACATGATTTTGGGTGGTGTTGAGTTGACATCAGGTGAACCGCCGCAAGGTAGCTCGCCAAAAAAACGTGAAATAAAAGTCATGGGATACCCAAACTAATATCGATCTAAATATCTAATTAATTACCCACACCCCTAAAATACTCTTTACACTTTGTCCATCCAAAGGTTGCCTGGAAGAAATTGCTTTAAGTAATGAAGCCACCCATTGTACAACCTTACATAATTGTTATTTTAATGTATTTTTTTACAGTGGTTTGTGCAATAAAGAATATTCAATCAATCAAATATCTTTATTCAATATTAAAGCGTACCGGTTATTGATTGTCAAAATAAATACTACCGCTTTGGAAAGAAAGCCACTGATCTGAGAACAACCGGCCAAAGATAATCAGCGGGAATTTTTTTTACTCATATTAGACAAAACATTGGTTAAAATATATATTGGTTTATTAGAGATTAAGAAAGTATATATTGGTTTATTAGAGATTAAGACCACGTACATGAGAGTAATGGTACTTTGATGCCGCTTGTTAGTTAGTTTATAGCGCGATGTGCTATGCGTATTAAAAATAGACAGATCCAGAACCATTACATATATTTACATGTTTGTATAGAAAATAGGTCATAACATGGTAACAATCGAAATCTCTTCCTATTCTGGAAATCACACTTTCCCCGCTTAGAACATAACTTGATCGTTGATTTGACCTATACATTAGAGTTAAGTAAAATATGTTTGTATATAATACTAACGACCTGCCCCGGCTTCGCACGGGTGCAATGTATTATATGTATAAACCTTCTTCTTGAATCACTATCTAGTAAAAAAAAACAGCATCAAGATCCGTTGCGTAGTTTTCAAGATCTAAGCATACATAGGGACAGACAGACAGCTCGACGAATTTGTTTTATTTGTAGTGATACTTCATTGCGCCAGCGCGTGCTAAATGTAAACTCGTGTTTTGCCAACAGTGCGTGGATCGAGGAGCACAATATAAAACCCTACCAAGAGCACAAAGAGCAGTTGATCAAGTCGTGCAAAACTGCCGCCTTCAAAGAAGCCGTCAATCAGATTGAGGAGTTCATTGTTAATCCGGAGGTCAGTAGACACTGCGTTATAAATTTGATTAGCTTGTATTGATTGTGTTCATAAAACTTACAAAATTAAGTCTAGAATTATTTGTCTACTAGATGAAAGCATATGAAATACCTGCATGATTGGTGTAAATTATTGGTCGTCCAGAATACTTTTGCGTTTTAATATTTTCAGCACGTTTCCTCCGGACGGTTTTTTAATACCAAGCACGTGGTGAACAATTAAATATGATAAAACATGAAATCAATATTGTTTTTTTTTAATAGAAATTCGGTGATATCGACGACCACGCGAGAGGCAATCCTGAGGAGGAATTCGACAAGCTCAAAGACGTTATGAACGAAGACAGCTCTGAGGAGAAGCCTGATGAAGAAGCTACTCCTGAGGTCAAGAAGAAAACCGCAACTCCCAAGGTAATTGGTTCTGAACAGTAGTTATTTATAGGGCTTTGAGTGAAGTACATATAAAGTTTTGGGAAATGTTAAATTTTAACCAGATTAAGTTAGTTTAGCTGGTGATTTTTTTTATATTTTCTTGGGTATATTAAGGTAAATTACATTGACTTTGACAACAAATGTTTCAAATCTTTCTGTTCTGGAAAGGCATGCTTCAAACAATGGTCTGTTTTATTTTATAATGGGGATGCAGGGGAGAGTATTCCCCTCGATTACCCTCTGTCTCGCTCTCTCGCTCTCATTCAATGAGTAGGTTGCGAAAAAAAAAATGTTTTTGTGCGCATATTTTTTTGATATAGTAAAACGATAATCGATTTTCGTAAATCTTGCGAAGACTATATCGAGATTTGCGCAACCTATATGATAGCTTGGTTCTTATCGTTTTAGGGCGTGTCAGTTTTGATCTATCCCTATTCCAATCGTTCAAATTGTTACATGCCTTTAACCATAATTATAAGGGTAATGTTTATAACTAAAATTGAGGTTTTTCCAAATAATATGACCGAAATAGTAAGACCTTCCATAGTCTACATTGCTCTATATTGAGTTGGACTAACTTTGGTCATACCAATGTAAGTAATGAGCCTTGCTAGGGCGCCTTCGCGCGATTCTGTTTGGAAAAATCCGCCTAGTTTAAAACAATCTGCGTAGTTATTTGTGGTTGAGGCACAGTATGGACATGCTCGTCCGGGTAAGTACCACGACCTCACAGAAGAACGGCGTGAAGTGGATGTATAATACTTTCGCGTTTCGTCTGGTGTTTGAGGCAGCCGGAGCCCAATTTTCAAAAGGTTGTCAACGCATCTGCAACCCTCGGGTGTAGCAGTTGCCCATGGACGGCGCAATTCACTTTACATCAGGTGAACCGCCTGTTTGCTTGGTAACATTTCACATAAAAATATAAAGATGTTTAATGATTAATGTCTGGGTGGAAGCAGTTGCTAAAGTATGTATCTCGGCTTTGCTGGTTTGATTATAACCGCGACAAGTGTGACATTCAAATAATGTTTCCCGATCTGTGGATATGTGACAACCTAAAATAGGACAATCCTCGTTGTCTCCTGCGAAGTGAAACTTCTAGACTGCCCACTGTCAGGTAGTTGTACTTTGTAGAATAAAAAAAAAGTAAAGTATCAGCCTATACATGTCCCACTGCTGGGCAAAGGCCTCCTCTGTACAGAGGGTATCAGGCCAGAGTTCATCACGCGGCCCCACTGCCGATTGGCGGACTTCACATATCTTATTTTGAAATATTTTTTTGTTATTATTCTTTCGAAAATATGCAGGTTTCCTCACGATCTTTTCCTTCACCGCTGTGCACGTGATAAGTCAGCACTTAAAATTAACAATTTGATCGACTTGGTTTTAAACAACCGCGCCGGTTAACGAGTCGTCGACGTTTATAGATCCGTTTGGGCATTTCGAAGGTGAAGGCCAAGCGCGCCTCCTCGGCCGGCCTGAAGGGCAGCCCGCGCAAGAAGCCCAAGGGCCTCCGGCGCTCCTTCACCGACAGCGAGGCGGCCGCCCACAAGCCCTCCATGCTCAACCACTCCTTCTCCAAGAAGTCCAGCCTGCTGCACCGCCCCTCCAACATACTGAGGCCCGTGAGTGACCGACTGCCCTCTCACTGGCTACTGGAGATACTTGTTATAGAGATAGGGTCGTGGGTTCGATTATTTAACTATTTGTGTGACCCACAGAGAATTGTTTCGGATCTGGTTGTTTGTACAGGTGAAATTTATGTATGTAAAAGGTCCTAACAACACAGGATAATGTTATCCTACAGTAAGGGCAATGTTTTTTAAAAAGAAAAAAATATCTATCGCTAGTAACCAAATCTATAAGTAGATAGATAGCCCGAAGAAATTATATGGTATTATAGAATATAAGTAGAAACAATAACTACCTATTAACCGTCAAGCAAAAAAATGTTTCGATACATTTTATTATTCATTTTCTATTTTTTTTATGTGAGTAAGTGGCAAACGAGCTGGCGGTTCACCCGATGTTAAGTGATAACCACCGTCCATGGACTTTTGCAACACTCGTAGTGTTGCAAATGCGTTGCCACCATTAAATAAGGTGGGCCTCAGCTACCTCACTCACTAGACGAAGTTAATAGTGTTAAAATAGTGATCACCGATTGTTGTGGTAGAGCGTTGTAACATCTGTTGCACGAATGGGCAGGCTTGTCCGGGCAAGTACCACGGCCTTACAGAAGACTGTTGAGGATGTCAAACTTACAACACTGGTTCTTCGCTTGACACCTACGGACATAGTGCGTGTGGGAAATGTATTTGCTTTTGCTATAATGTATTTATGCAGCTGATGAAGTATCACAGATTCTTTGAATTGATGGGATCGTCCATGAATCACATGGGGCTCTTAAGGGGGAAGTGGGGTATAGGAGGGGGTAACGTGCAATTATTTTCACTTTGAACGCAATATTTAAATCGAAAAATCGGTATAAGCCAAAAAATATAAAACTCCGAGGAGTGTGATGGTCTTGCACGTTCGGTCCCGAACAATCGGAGGTTCCTCTCATCACCCGGCAACCGCGGTGGGGCAGGAGACGCCGCCGCTGGACCTGGAGAACGTGTCGGAGACGCTGCTGGAGAAGAAGATCAAGGCGAGCCAGATGCGCTTCGGCTTCCTGGGGCTGGGCATCATGGGCGGCGGCATCGTCAAGAACCTGCTCAACTCGGGCCACAAGGTGCTCGTGTGGAACCGCACCGGCGCCAAGGTACCGCCCCCCCCCCGCCCCCCTCGCCCCCTCGCCCCCCTCGCCCCCTCGCCCCCTCGCCCCCCTCGCCCTCCTCACCTTCCTCACCTTCGGCTAAAGTATAAAGTTTTCTTTTGTCTAGTCTTCCGCTAGTCTTATATAAAAGTCTGCGTTCGATGAGACTTTAATAGTGCAAGGACTGAAAGGATAACACAAGTCATACAAATATACATATAAAATATAATGTTCGTATGCATATAACGTTCGCTTAAAACTCGAGAACAGTTAGCCACCGATATGAAACTCGGAACATATATAGAGGGCGACATGACCACTCTGACGAACATAGTTAAGTTAGTGCCGGGTAGGTGGCGCTGGCGGCAGCGATTTTCATCTTTTGAACCATATGTTGAAATGATAACCGGTAAAACGCAAGATTTTTCTAGATAAAGCAAAGAGCCTGTGCACCAGTCACCATGAGAAGGTGGCAAACGAGCTGGCGGTTCACCTGATGTTAAGCGATAACCGCCGCCCATTGACATTTGCAACACCACAATGTTTGCCAATACGTTGCCACCTTTATATCAATCTCTCGATGTTAGCTAGCGTTGGTTAGACAAGTGACCGCTCGGTCTCAACGTTAGAACCTCAGCTGTGGTGTACAACGTAACTTGTGGCTTTCGATATGACTCGGCTGTGATATGTCGTATAAAGTGCCGGTATATTGTTGTATATGGTTACCAATCTCACGTGAAACGACACCATAGTGTGATAGTTAGTTAATAAAGGCCCATTTACACGATGCCATTTTCTTGTACATACAAGAGCAATAATTGAATGCAATAAATTGCGCGCAATAATTTGTTAGACCATGCAACTCATTTATTGCTTCAATTTAATTGTATACAACAGGCAAGAAACTTGCACCGTGTAAATGGGTCTTAAATAAGAGACTTAGTAGTCTCAAATAAAAACTATTGCGTTAAACCGACTACTAGCTGTTTCAAAGACTCGCGTTTCACATCGGTATGATTAAATACGGTTTTGCGTTACATATTATCCCGTTCATTATAAAATTTCAACTCGAGAGAAGTGCTAGTGCCTAGTATTTAGCGCGGATTAAAAAAAAAAAAATAGAAATTCGGAATTTGATTCGAGGAAAAACCGTACGTATTGTAAACATTATATAAATTGACGTTGAAAATACGAAATTCGTTGAGAATGTACGTAATGTTATTATGAATTTTTTCGTTAATCCATAGTTATCCATTGATATTCATCATTTTGTACAAATTCGGATTTACACAAGTTATTCGATTTATTTTATTTATCGTCTGTGGTAGGACGACACGAGGAACTTTACTATTCGTGTGCTCCTAACAAAACAGTACAACTATAAGGTAGAGGTAAATAAGAAAAGTCTCTGTCTTCAATAATGGCGGCGCTGCGGTAGCGTTGGATAAATTTAAAAAAATCGCCATAAGTAATATCAATAAGAAACGGAAATAAAAAACGATGGACAAAGCTCGGTGTTAGAACACTTAAACACACATCCTAGCACAATAATTTGTGTTCCAACCATTTATTAATGCGATTATTACTCAAGTGAGTTATACGAGTCTTTTTACTGGGCATTAAAAATAATAATACCATTTTTCTCAACGTCTAATATTGGCAACATTACTTCGCGTGAATATAATATTTAAAAATAACAAACATATGTTTTTGTAATTCAAAACATATTGATCCATCTATTTGAACATAGAACAGTATACAGTACTGAAGTACAGTATAATACTCTATACAATAGTACGGTTGGCAACCCTCCTCATATCTCGAATTAATTAGCGGCTTATTTCGCTTTTTGCAAATATGTTGTTACGTTTACAAAACATTATAAATTTTTAATATGCATATTTAAAATATAGGTGGCTATGCCCATATAGATGGCTATGCTCCTGTATTTTCGCAGTGTGCGAGGATTTTTACGCAAAAAATTGGCTACATAAGCCACACACGAGCAAACCAAAGACAAACACGATAACGGCCGGGAGGAATCTTAGGTGGCTGTACATAAGTAGTGAGAAACGTCGTTTTCTAGCTTTTCTTCAGTAAATTATGTACACCTTCACCATTTAGGTATTGTTTTATACTATGTTTTAAATTATGTAACACAGCGTGATCTAATAGTTATTTCTCAGAAAGTCCGTAATTCCGTTTACTGGTAATATGATCTAGTTAAGTGAAACGATAAAAACATGCAATGTTTTATTGAACGACTACATAGTTGAGATTAATTATACGGCCTCGCGGTGGTAGGGCCACGCAGCAGCCTCGGCTGTTGCACGAATGGGCAGGCTCATCCGGGTAAGTACCACGACCTCACAGAAGGCCGGCGTAAAGTGGAAGTATAATACTTTCGCGTTTCGTCTGGTGAGTGAGGTGGCCGGAGCCCAATCTTCAAAAGGTTGTCAACACATCTGCAACCCTCGGGTGTAGCAGATGTCCATGGGTGGCGGTATTCACTTAACATCAGGTGAACCGTCTGCTCGCTTGGCAACTTTTCACATAAAAAAAAACGTCGAGCAGCTTCAGAGGCTATTCAATCATCAATGATTTGAGTGATTATTCCATATGACTGCAGTTTTTAGGCCCAAACTTCAGTTAGCAACAGGTTATAAATCTCTTCATAGTATACAGCATTATGTTACAATACAACCGCGGCCTTAAATGAACACAGTTCTATCGCTACTTGCTAATAATCATAAAAAATATTAACATTAAAAAGCTCTAATTAAAAAAATAATACTCAATCTATTAAAATAAAAAAAAAATTGTAACATATTATACAACTACAACTGACTGATTCATACATTCAGAAACCTTTTCATTCGTTGCCACAACGTCGTGTTACAAGCCTCTCCTTCTAACAGTATGTTTTGTCTCTTTTAAATTCATTCAACCCATTCATATGCTTCGTGACCTTTACAAATGAACTTTGCGTTACAGTTTTATACGTACTGGTGTTCTAAAATTATTTGTTTTCGAAAATAACTCTTTAAATATTTAGTTTTAGTTTAAAACAATTTTAAAAAGTTATCCTTTTCATGTTTGTCAATTTCTGGTCGCGTTGGTAGCGACACGTTGTATACTTAATAAGTAATGGACCATACTGTAATAATTTTTTTCAAGTCAACAGCAACTGAAATTGATCTTTATTTAATAAGTACATAAGTTGTTTTTCGATTTCATAAGCTTTAAGCATGAATTTAAAACAAAATGTTATTGTCGAGCAGAAGTTTAAGAAGGTTGTATATTTAAATGAATACATTTCTAGAGGTCAATGCCGTAAGGTCGTATGACAATTTTTTTATAATTAATCAAACATTGCGAAGTATGTTTTCTTAACTAAACTTATAAACAAATCCCAACGATTATGAATAACACTTTTTACAATCTACTTTTAGCAAGCTTTTAAACCTCCGATAAGTTGTTATGAATTAGACCATAAATTTATGTTGCATTGATTTACATAATAAATAATTTTTACACCGTACCTTATAATGAATACTTTCATCGGCATGATTTGAAATATTGCCGAGTGAAAGATAACTGTATTTCCGTCATTTAGAATGATACGGATGAATACAGTCGTTGCTCGTAATGATTTTGTATGACGCGTGAAATTAGAACATAACATGATGATATGGAAGAAGTTATGGCACTAGTTATTGTTTTGTAAGGTGATTATTGGAGCGATATAGTAGGAACATGGTGTGAAAAACACGAAGCGAAGGTTTCGTGAATTAGAAACATCTCAAGTTAGCACGACGATAGAATCGCCCATCGCCCCAGCCTCCCTAACCTTTTTAACGTATTCGCACATTACAATGTTTTAAATCAGGTCCCTGTCTAATAAAGCCTGTAATCGTCATAGGTTGATTTTAAGTAACCAAATAGTCAGCAAAACAAGTGCGTTTTGAAGATAGATGGCGCAGTTCACATACAAATGCATCCAACTGCTTACATAAATAATTTGTTAGAAAGTTCATAGACGTTTGTGCTTAAGCATGACATTCATTTCCCCTACAGTCATCTGACCCTTTGGTCGTCATATAATAGTCACGCTTAGGACTATCTATGGCTCATTTAGTAGTGTTTTCAGCTTCAAATTAATTGCTCGTCATTGTTTCGCCTCGCGGAAAAAAATAGGATAATCTACTGAACAACTTCTATATAATTATTTATATTTTAGTACAAATTTTAACCTGTGTATGCTAAATTTCGAATATACAGGGTGGCTTTTCTAAGTGTATTCATTTTTTTTATTATATTCTAGACATAAATATAGTTATATAAATATAATAATTCTAACGTTTTTAACTTGATTCAAATATTTTAACTATTACTGAACTTGAATGTTAACAACTGTTATAACGACAAGCAGCACTAGTGGCTATATCACCGTCCGGGAACGCGGCCGGAATTTAAGTGACCGCTGCTCCATGGTCCATACGATCATGTGTCCCTTGACTCGAGTAGATAACGTCATATCCGTTATACAGTGTTGCCAGCGCCAACATAAAAAATGATTAATATTTCAAAAACACTCGTAAGTAATTAATTACATTCATTTGAACTTATCTCAAAAAGTGCGTATACCACCGAGTCTGAACCGCCTCTGTAAGTTTGGGCACTTCTCAAAAAATCTCCCAGTAGAGCTGCGGTAACTAAAAAGTTTGAAATCATAATATTGTCTTGTCATGGCAATGCGATTTACACGATAACTACCGTACCACTAATCTATATAATTAATATAAAGTCTCTATATAAGTAAATAATCTCGGGGACGTAGCCTGGCGAGGAACTACATTTCCAGGTCCATAGGTCTGATAAAGCTTTATGTATTCAATGAGATAAAGGCAAAATGATTTTCAGATAAAGGTGACTTGTTCATAGTCGTCATATGTAAAGATAACCTTTTTAAAGCATTTCGTAAAGGAAAAGAAGTTTTCGTTTTGTTTAGACAAATTATTTATATGCAGTGCGAAGATTATTGATTCCTGGAGAAAAGTATCGTATCCCTCAATTGTTTATCTACTCTCTATTGTCTACGCCAAATACTTGAACAACGAAGCCTTTTCATAACTATTGCCAATTAGATTTATAACCATACCAATGATTACCTAATTTAGCCGCTATTTAAAAAATTAATCGGTTTTACTCTTAAAAATGTATTAACATCAATGATACAATAATAGCGACTCAGTGGGGATTAAACTCGATTGGCGTTTGCTGCTGCTAACAACTTGTGTATCTTTCACGATATCTTTGTTATAATATGAAAATAATGGATTTCAGTACATTTGTTAACATTTTTCTGTTAAATAATTGTTAAAAAAATTGTCCCGATATTTTCTTTCCCGAACCGGTCGTATCGTTTTGACAATCAATATATATGTATATAGTGTAGTGCTTCTATATAAAAAAAAGTTATTTGAATTTGAAAACGCTTAAGTTTTGTTCTGCAGAGTCATCGTCATGTCTCAACCGATTTACACAAAACCTTAATCAAATATGCTCTTAAACTTTTCTAATGAATCACTCCGTCCATTAGTTAAAACCCTTCAGAAGTTTTTGAGTTTGTCGCGTTCACGCGTGCGGACAGAGGCGATGGAGTTACTACGTTTTATAAAAAAACATAGTTTTTTTTTCGCTTTTCCAAGCAATCTATCTGCAAGCTGGTCTTAAGCTAGACTTATATGATTAGTTATGACGGGCCTATCCCTTTCTGGTGATTCTTTATAAACAATAACTACCAATTATAGTTAGAATAAAAAACTATTCTTAATAATATAAAAATGAATATTGATAAGGCCATAACTCAAGAATGGCTGGACCAATTCGGCTAATTTATTTTTTTGTATGTTCGTTAAGGTCCGCGGAAGGTTTTAATTAGTATTAGAATTAACTACCAATTATATGATACAATAAAATTACCATACTTTTAAATTGAATCATAAGCCCCATTGAAGATGTCTAAATTTAATGCATACTACTTGAAACTTAAATGGATTTTAGAATTTCGAAATACAACAAAAAACCTACTAGTAACAACGACTTAAATGTTAGTTTTTTTTGGCTTTTACTTTTATACAATTTTTTTTTACAATTTTATTCATCTTTATTAATAATTTGAAACGCCAAATAATCTAATGCCAATGAATCATTACATGTTTTTTTTTATTAAATGCTTACGGATTACTTTAAAAATTTATCCTTAATTCATATTTACTAATTTAGAATATTTTTGCTAATTTTATATTATTTTTGGCTTGAAATTTAACAACCATTAATTATTTTAGGTCGAAATAGTAGTTCAGATTAATAGATAGCAAGGAAATTATATTTTGTTGAGTTGAGAGCCATAAAATGTTATTGTTTTGTATCAATAATCTAATCTAAACAATTGCATCCTACTGTTAGTGTAGTGATTTACGGGTTAAATGCACCATATCTGGTGTATAATTTGTGTCAGACTTTAACATTTTTGTATATCAAAAAAATAAAAATTATCATTTTTCGCGATGTTTATAGTAAAAAAGCAAATATTATATATAATTTTTCTTCACGAACGCAAAAATAACACAAGTTCTAATCTTCTCAAATATCATTCCTAACTCATTTATCACTTTATATTGCTCATACACTGTTAAGTTTGATTACAGTATATGTATTGATGTTGTGTTCGTTTTGCCGGCTCAGTGTTTTCCATTAGAACGTTAGCAAACGCGCCATTTGCGCTGATTAAGTGCAAAATGATTACGCCGGTTGGTTTTACGGGGCGTTCTGTGCGGTGTGTGCGAACATGTTCGACGCGCATGTACGGTGTTCGGTCTGGCGTGTTCGGTCCACTCTTTAATATCCATCTTCATCGTAGCTCATTAAAGTTATTATTTTACAATAATGTGCCGTCCCGAGTGTTGCAAATAAACTATTTCATACAAGTCTATTGTTTCATTTGATAGTTCTAGGGTCCGATTTTTAGTTTGGAAGTGCAATCGATGCAAGTTTCAAAATAATGTTTGTTAATTTCACTGTTCACGTGCAGTAATTGTCGTTTATGTTTAATTAAAAAGAACCTTAGATGTTATAATTACGCAATGAAAAATAAAGTAAATTTGTTGAGATCAAAACGTGTTGAATATTTGAAATCATCGCTCGATAAAGACATATGAAATAGATAAACAGATAATAAGCGATATACACAATCTGCCGTTAAAAACATCGTTGGCAGACAAGATAACGAAATACGAGCCTCGTTAGTCCTCACACAGAACGTAAATAAAACCAGAGAGATTACATTGAAAAATAATTTATTCTCCATGATTTACTATTTACTCTTGTTTATAATATTTAGAAAATTCTCAACAATATTTGTATATTTCATATTAAGAAACTTTAATTATAATATAATCATTGCTGGATTTTAGTATTTTGGCATATCACTGCAAGACTCGTTACACTTCCGATGCGGCACAAGGAAAGGTGGAAAAATAAATTATTATAATGTAAATAGATAATAGTTGTTGTTTCATATTAAAATTGACTAAATCAGACTCAATAATGCAAGACATCTAGATTGGTAGAGTTGAACGGAAACTTGGCTCATATTACAGAGATCGCGCCAGTTCTAGGATACACCAATTTACAATAACCTCGCAACAATTACAACAATGATAGTAACAATTTCCTTACACCTCCATTAACTACGCATTAAGTCGAAACAAATATAAAATGCATAATACTCTAAGATTTTTCATACACCTAAAAATACATCAAAATGGAAATGAACAAAGTCGAAACAAACAATCATACGGTATTTACACACGCCTCGGATAACCAATAGAACACTTAATTAGAATACCGTTACGGAATATCTCCCACGCGCGCGCAACGTTCGACGGCGGACTCTCAGTATCCTTAAACTAAGCACTAGGAGACGACGGTACGTGATATAAGTTAACGGAGCGTCATATCGAACATTCATATCGAGTCTATCACAGCTTACTTACGACTGGCCCCTTCGTCGACCACGAACGGCAAGATGCGTCATTAGGGCACGCGGGCGAAGGGGCGGGGGCGAGGGGGGGAGAGGGGGTGCGAAGGTCACACGTAGGAGGGCGCGCCGCCGCTCAGGTCGCTGAGCGGGATGTCCGGCGGCCGGTGGGCGCTCAGCGCGCGCCCGGACACGGCGTAGATCTTGAACACGCGCGTGAGCAGCCTGTACTACAAGGGCGTGCTCTCGCAGAGCTTGGCGCACTCGCCGCACACCAGCTGCCCGGCGGCGTGCTTCAGCTGGCACTCGGGCTGCACCAGCTCCACGGCGAGCAGCACGCGCGCCTCCCTCTCCGCCCCGGCGCTGGGGGCGGCGTCGCCCCTCACGCCCCCCACCGCCCCCTCGCACGCCGAGTCTCGCCGCAGCTCGGGTGAGCTCGCGCTCACCGGCATCAGGCACCTGTCGCGCCCCCTCCCCAGCAGCGGCTCGCTGAACGGCTTGAACTCGACGCGCTCGCGTTTGCCCCTCGCCGGCTCCGTCGTCAAGCCCGACTTGGACGTGGACGCCGGCGAGGGGCACTCCATGGTGGGCGGCGGCGGCGGCTGCAGCGGCCGTATCTTCGCCATCAGCCTTGGGGGGCCGCGCTCGATCATGTTTATGTGGATGCCGTCGGGAACGGTCACCGGCGAGTTGCGCCTCGAGTTCAGCGACCTCTCCGTCGGCGTGTAGTACACGGACATCTTGCTCTCGTCGTCCGCCAGCGGGTTGGGCAGCTGGGAGAGCTTCTCGATCTTGGTCTTGAGATACATGTCGATGACCTCCACGTCGGGGTCGAACGCCATAGAGTCGCTCCGGCCGCACGAGCCGCTGCGGCAGTTCTCGAAGTACAGACTGGGCAGGTTCTCGAGCACCTTGTTCAGCGACTGCTGCTGGTACTTGTAAGATTCGCGCAGCCTCAGTATCTGGTGAGCGCTGAACTTTCGTATTTTGTTCCGCTGAAACACGTAGTTCTCCCTGACCCAGTTTAGCTGCGACGTAGAGTACTCCCTCACACGTTTCACCTGCAACAATTGATTATAATTTTTAATGAACACATATTCAATAGATTATTCAAATAATCAAGGCAATTTTAACATTAAATGATGTAAAATTCATAAGAACACGTTGCTTTCGCCCATTTTTTTGCATATTTGATTTGAATATAATAGGTACTTTATACCTGATCGTAATACTGATCCTTCATTGCAGTTAAATGATTGGTGCCAATGTCTCTAATGTTGCGTAGGTGCGTCGCTTGCGTAGAGTAACTGTTCTGTATCCATTCCATTTGCTGCGTACAGTTCTCTTTGATGCGATGGACCTAAAAGTGATTAATTATTTCAAAATTAGATTACGACTGTAACTTGTAACACACGGTTATTGGTGCGTAAAAATTAGGACGCTCACTTGGACCGCATAGTTCTCCCGCAGTTTCTCCAATTGCTGACGCTTGTACTGTTCGATATTGTCCAACATATTGTATATCTGTCGGTTTTTAGGCTTGTCGCGGTTCACACACGCGCAGCAACTGCAACACGTCTCCAGTAGTCTGAATCTGAAATGTAACGTTTCGATCTTAGTACGCGTTAATCACTTTTAATGCAATAAATATATTAGAAACACTCACCTGTGGAATATATAGCGGATAGCCTGTACGAGTAGCGTAAGCCCCAGGAAGCCCGCAGCGCAGATCGCCCCGCAAAGCAAACTGTACATCTTGATGTCGAACATTGTCATCGGATCGATGTTCAGGACGACTTCAGCGGTGACGTTCGCCGAAGGGTTCGTCGCGTAGCATAGATAGGTGCCGGTGTCCTCTCTATGTATGTCGCCGATAAACAGCGTGCCGTCTTCGAGCACCCTCACTCGCGACTTCCCGTTGTCTATCGGCCGATAGTGCTGGTCGTGGGCCACTCCGTGCTTGTGGAATATGTCGGGGATCAGCATGTTGGGGTTCCAGTGGTAGACGTCCCTCGTGGGCGTTATCCAGGTGATCGACGGCGGCGGGTTGCCGTCGAATCTGCACTCGAGGAGAGCGTCGGTTTGCAGTCTGTACAACGTCAGAGGGCTGCTCATGATTAGCTGCGGCGGTTTGCAGTTGGTGTGGTTGAGGGTCCTCAACATGTCGTCCGGGTACGCCCGTCTGCAGCTCAGGTCGGATTTGATGATGTCCTTCCTCCTGTCAGCCCATGTGGCGAACCACGCCATGCGGCAGTCGCACGCCCACGGATTCCCCCCCATCCGCAGCGATTGCAACTTCTCCAACCTCTCTAGGCTCAACGGAAGAAAGGTCAAATCGTTGCCGCTCAGATCCAAGTGGGTAATCGACGGCGTATCATCGAAAACAAACCTCTCTATCTCGTGTAGAAAGTTATTGTTCCTTATAAATAGCCTCTGCAGATTACTCAGACCTTTGAAATTCGTATTCTGTATAACCGTCACCTGAGTGTTGTCGAGGTAGAACGTTTGCAAGTTTTCGTTGTGTAGGAACAGCGCCGGCGGCAACAGCTTGAGCCGGTTCCCGCCCATATCCAGGCTTTTTAATTTCTTAAGATTTTTAAAAGCATCGTATGATATGTTTTGGAAGTTATTGTAACTAAGATTAAGTTCAATTAGCTCATCGAAACTATCGAATATATACTTAGGTATATAATCTAATTTATTGCCGGATAAATTGAGGATCTCCAACTCCCTCAAGTTGACTAGAGCTTTCGAAGTTATTTCGACTAGGCTATTGTTATTTAGGAACAGTTGTTTAAGCTGGCGGTTGGGCTTAAAAAAGTAATCTAAGAATGTTGCAATTTTATTATGCGATATATCCAAAATCTTTAACCTAGTCAGCGGCCCGAAGACCTGGAATGGTATCACGTGGAGCTGATTGTGCGAGACATCGAGGACCTCCAGATTGTCCAGATTGGCGAACGTGTAGCGTGGCAGGTCGTCGATTTTGTTCCGCGACAAGTTGAGGTGGTTCAGGCGGCTCAGTCTTGCGAACAGGTCGTGCTCTGTCCTTCTGATTTCGTTTCTGCTCAGATCGATGTAGTACAGGTTGTACAGGCCCAGGAACAGGTCCTGGTCAATGGCCTCTATGTTCGAGTCCGTCCAGGTGATGTTCTGGAGCTCGGTGCCGTGGCCCGCCAGGATGGATCTGGTGAGGTTGTTGCCGGGGACGGTCTCGTTTGAGCACGACAGGGCTGTCGCGTTGCATACGCAGGTGGAGGGGCACTCCTCCCCCACAGCTGCGCAAATTATTGCCAGCGTCAATACTTTGTACAGCCACCGCATTATTTTACAACCCTCATAGTCCTATAGACTGGAACAAGAGACATTTTAGCGTTAACACACTATACATTTCTATTTCGAATTAATGCACCATAATCAACATATAATACATATTTTTTTCAATAGGATTTCAATCATTTTTGATTTAATTATCGCTAGCTGGCCTAGTCAGGACAATGTGGTGTCTATCATATTCTTATTATTATAAGTTATTGTAATTATCAATGTTTTATGATATTAGGACCTTGTTTAAAATTATTTACCTAGTTCTTTTATACTCGTCATCACTGGTATAGCACCATCGCTGCTTAATTGATTATATTTAAAATCTAATGAAAAGCTATAATTGCATAAAGTTAAATAGTTATTCTTAGATTTTTGTGTTCATTAAAATGAGTACTTGTAATTATGAAGCCTTAATTATAACCTAAGCTAGTAATGGTCTTTTGATTACAAATTGAAATTCTGTTTTGTAATTTACAAAATGGAACCCAGAAAACACATAGCAATCTTACAATGTTTTCATTGCTTTTAAAAACACTTTAATTTCCCCAAGATGAAGAAAATTTAAATTTAAATTCGTTAATAGAATGAAGCCGTTAAGCCTGAAACATATTTTCACACTTCCTATTTGTAATAAGACAGAATTTAAATACTTTTAAAAAGTAAGATGTATCTAAATTTTGTGTTACCTGACAGAAATTCTAAAAATCCATTATTTTGTGGATCAGATAAAATTCGAAACGTTTCGAAACCTTGCATGAATTGAACTGTTAATAAGTTTCAGACAATTAAAATTGAACCAGTTCAATTAACTGGTTCCAAGCTCCGACGAATAATAAACAATTTACAAGTAAAAACGCGTTAAATTTGGTTCTTTTGCTTCGTTTTTCTCCAACCTTGAATGAGGTATCTTATAAAAATAATGATGTCCTTCAAACTTTCTGAACAGTTTTTATATATATTATCTTGTATTTCAGAAGTTATGGTGGCCCATACAATGGTAATTTTATACTTAAAATTCTGCTCGCATTCCAACGGTGGTTTTATTACGGTCCATGTTATCGTGGTCCGTATAAAATTCTAACGGAGTGCAACAACAAATCGTTGCAATTTCTAAATTACTCACGCCACGTAGGCCTTGGTAATTAAAAACCCCATCACACTTGAAAGGTCTCCGTTGTTCTTTACTTTGTCTTTTACAACAGAAAGTTAGGTTCATTATTTTATGGATAAGTTAAGTCTTGTAGGGAACGGATTCAAGTTCTCTAAGTAACATGTAGTCTTTTGTTCTCTTAATTTTATCATTACTATGTGTCAGTCGACGGCTCTATTCCTTTACAGTTGTGGAAGACTACAAAACGATCGAACAATGTGTCCCTAGACACACGGCGACTGCAAAGTCTGTTAACTAGCTCACCTTTCGTTATATACGCCTTCTCACCTAGAACATTCCGACTGGGACACAGAACATGCACACACGCACAGCTTAACTTATCCCCCGGCCAACGTGTAACACATTATTTACCTAATATTCGTCCGCATCCTACACCAACTTGCATAATCTCATTTCGTGTTGACAACAGACGTACTAACGGCCGCCATGGCGCGCCGCGGTCGTGTACTAGCAAAGCGCGATCATCATTCCCGTTCCCGCACCGAAAACGAACCGATACTGTATCAAAATGCGTCCAAAACACTTGCCAGTACAATTTTCACAAATGAAACGTGTTACACGTTCCGCTAATCGAAAACGCTGTCACTAGCTGGGAGGCGAGCACTGGAAAGAAATAAATGGCGGCGCCGCTCGGTGCGCGCCGCGACCGTCTCTTTCGGGCGCGCGTGACGCAGTTATCGCCCTCTCGCTCGCACCTCTACCAGTCAGCTGTAGGGCGCGGAGTTAGCCGAGCGCGGGCGAACGGCGCTTCGGAAGTAAGGCCCGCCATTCCGTTGGTGTTGGCTTCGACAAAAGCGACAGAGAGCGTTATAGTCTGTATTGAATGGGGTCTGCCCGTATGTAAATGAGAACCGAATGGATATCATCGATAGAAAACATTACTTTCCGTCTGCGTTGTCGCGGCGGGAAAGTGTCAATTGATTTTTTCGTCCGATAAGTTTATTATGTACTATACTTGTCACTTATAATTAACTTTTACAAATTGGTTTAATGTTAGAGGATCCATAAAATATTTTGAAAAACCTTTCTAATTTCTTGTATTTAATCAAAGTTGATTAAAATCTCCCCCGTCATCAGAGTTACACGCGTAGATAGGTCATATGAATTTTAAAAAAAATGTTGAGTTCAGACAGCCGCATGTAAGCTGATATAACAACGAAGCTACTTTCACTATCTTGAGCTTTGTCATGAGATCCCCAGTGGACATCTTATAGGGGGATTTCTACTCATATTAACATACAGAACCAACCACGTCATTCGTTCACGTATTGAAACTAATTCCGGTTTTTGTAAACTTAGGCCGTCGCGTACGGTACACACGTGTGATATAATAATGACATAACCCCCGAATCGGAAACTAGGCAACGGACATGTGAAATTAGAGCGAGACAGCGATATTATTATGTAAACATGTCGGATGATTTGCATGTCGCAACATGTGAAAATGTTATAACCACTGGAATTTATAAATTTTACGAAAACAACAATTAGATGCATATCTAAAGTGGGGTGATTAAGAATCTCCAAACCTACTTAGTGAGAACGATTTTGATGCCTTTTGGTGGTGGATTCCTGTGAACGATTAGAATTATTTCTAAAAACTGGAAAGTAAGTTTTTCGTAATGATGCTTACAAGACGTTTCGATTGCGATCTATGTTGATTCGGAGTTCTTTACGAACACGTCAAACGACGAACGCCGCGGCTAGAATAAGATTCGTGATGAATCATATGTTTCCCGGCTGCATTTGTACGAAATTGTTGCGAGTTTCGTCGTTTATCGTTTTTCGGAATAGTTGTTCGGTTTCTTTGCGAAATACCTAACCCGTTTTGAGCAAAAAGCGCTGGCCAAACGGATTAGTGGACACGGTCTGAAGCACATAGTTCAATACCGGGTACTTATTAACGTTGCCGTGTTCCGAATATTTAACTGCTTACTTGTGGGACGCTTACATAATAAAGTATCAGCCTATATACGTCCCACTGTTGGGCAAAGGCCTCTGTGCAGAGGGGTGTTAGGGCGAAGTCCACCACGCGACCCAACTGCGGATTGCCAGATTTGACATATCTTCGAAACATTTTTTTGTTATTATTTCGAAAATAAGCAAGTATCCTCACTCACCTCACCGCTGAGCAAGGTTGATAATTATTACACATAAAGTTTTGCGTGTTACTAATGGCGAGAGAATAACTTAAAGTTGTTTAAAATAAGTCTCCCTCTGTCTAGAAATTTTGGCTACAACTAGTTTGAACACTCCTTTCCTATATCAGTGATTTAAAAATTTGTTATCATATTTCAGATAAATAATTCATATATCGCGAATACTTTCTATGCGTAGATAATATTCACGATAATATATTGATGATATCGTATTGCTTCACCATTTTACTATTCCCTTGTGTACGCAGGAAAAAAACGTGTTTTGAACTGATGTTACATGACTGGTTTAACCGCATTAAAAACTATGCAGTAAATTTCCTTAATGTTTACCAACGTCAGTGTATTATAACGAATCTAAGCTAAGAAGACAAGACATTTCTAAGTCTGTAGGTCAAGGAAACACATGAAATGTCTCATTTTACAATTTCCACAAATAAATAATATTTAGCCGTGATAGGTCAGTGTCCGCGCGCTCGCCTTTAATTCGATATACTCGAGCAAACTGACTTCGATCGCCGGTGCCGGCACCAAGATATTGTTAATTTTAAGTGCCGAATTATCGCGTGCTCTCAGCGGTGAAGGAAAGCATCGTGAGGAAACCTGCATATTTTCGAAATAATAAAAAAATATATATATTTCGAAGGTATGTGAAGTCCGCCAATCCGCAGTGCGGCCGCGTGATGGACTATGCTCTGTTATAGGACTATAACCTATACAGAGGAGGCTGATACTTTGCTTTTTTACAATTTTTTTATGTGCGATGTTGGCTAGCGAGATGGCGATTCACCTGATGTAAGTGATAACTGTCGCCCACGAACATTTGCAACAGCCGTAGGATTGCAGATGCGCTGCCACCTTTTAAAAATTGGGCTCCGGCTACCTCTAACAACAGACGACACACGGATGTGTCCGCTTCGACTTCACGTCGGTTTCTGTGAGCTCGTGGTACTTCCCCGGACGGACCTGCCCATTCGTGCTCACTGTTGCGTTGCCCTACAACAGAGTAACCGGATCCAACTATTAAACGTCGAAACGGAATCACATGCTTTGGTATCTCACTCATCAGGCGAATCGCCTGCTATCTATCATAAAATACGAAGCGTTCGAGTTGTATATAGCCTTTGCAAACACGGGAGCATAAAAGGTCAAAGTGTATCCTTCCAAGCGTCTTACGTAATAAGCGTCTACACCAATATTCCCTTTCATTCGTTGTGTAACTCCGTGATCTGTTCAGCGATTTCTGTTTGATGTTCTCCCAATTTCTAATTTTCATTTAGATAATTTCAAGTGAATAGTACACATCTTTAGCTATATTTTTCTATACATAGCTCCGTTGCGGCGTGGTAACTGGGGTTTACTCGGCTCACAAACTGAGGGCACGCCTTCGAATCCACAAGCAAATCTACCGTACACGAAGAAAAACAATTTGTCTGGTGTAGATTAGCTCCGTTAATTAAGAAGACGTAGAGATTAACTCTGTTCACTCTGTTCAACGACTTTAGTATCTGATTGTAACCAAACATGTTAATAATTTTATTATTAGTTATGCTACTGTTATCTGTTCCACTTTTGTGCATTGATGATTTAATGAAATCATATCCAGATCATAATCATATAGAACTGATTCGTAAATGTCACATTGCAGTTATGCGCTCTGATGTCATTCAACACTCTGGGACCCATTGACATTGTCCGTTTTTATATTATATTAACGCGGTTCTATTACATGCCATGTGACGCGTTATAACCCCGGCGAGGTCGAGTTAATGCACGTTATTCCGGATTTAGGATTGCTCCACAGTCATCGCATTCTTGTTGCAGAACTCGTTCTGATGACACGACACGGACGTTGTTAACAGTATTTCACATATTTTTTTTCTATGCGAAAAGTTGTCAAGTCGAGTGAATGTCGCCTGTTGACATCTGCAACACTTGAGGACTCATGTTCTGTAAGTTGACAACCTTAAAACAGCGGTTTCCGGTAACCTCAGTTTTGGTACCGATAACTTCGTTAACTCTGATTAAAGTCATGATTCACATAAGAATGTATATAACAGATGTATTGCACAAATGGGCAGGCTCGGCCGGAAAGGGGCCGGTCACAGAAGTCCTGCGGAAGTGAAAGATAAAATTTACATTTTGCCTGGTGATTGTGAGTGAGGTAGCCGGATCAAACTTTGACAAAGGCAATGCACATGTTAGCTCCGGTACCGTTTTACCCTTGGGGTACGGAACCCTAAAAAGACTTTGTGAGCTGGTAAACGATGTTTCATAGATACAGCAGTCATAATGGGACGCTATCCGGTTCACATTATCACCGAACGCAAAAGTAAAATATTATTTTAACCCGGTCTCACGAACACTTGCAGTATATCCTTAGCTTCGTCTTTGAGGACGTATTACCCGAGCGTGTTTCGCAGACAATCGATATTGCTTTAGGGATATAAGTTTAACCTACTTCGTACACATATCGTGATAAGGTGCCCTTGGTACTGTGATGGATCGCTTAAGCGCTTTGCTTCTACACTATTCTTCCCACAGAAATAGCTTAGGCAAGTTTTTTATGGAATGTACGTCAGTAATTTTTGCAGATTGTTATTGGGAATTTACATTTAATGCAATAAATTGTCATACGAGTTTTGTATCGAACGATCGTTATTTTAACGTATATGTTAATATGATGTACGAAAAACCTTAACGTTCACAGTGGCTTAAAACATGTTATAATTGGAATAAAGATTTTTAGACCTGCAATAAAACACGGCCTGCAATTAATGTATGAATCTCATATACTTATTCGGGCAAAAAAAAATGCGAAACAGAACCAGTTATTTTAGCAAAACAATTTAATTGGATTTATTCCAGTGTTGTTGTTTGACTTTATATTAACGTCGAATTGATCTCATTTTATTATTTATTGCTATGTGGTATATCGTCGGTAAGATATGTTCGGTGAGTTTCGGTGCTTCTGGGTCTATTTATCATATACGGTCTGGTCTATCCACACGATTCTAGTATTATTGTAACTATCACCTAGTTGTTCTTAATCTGAGCCCTCGTCCATGTAATCTATTTTTAACAAAGTGTGAAACAATAAAACCAATAACAAGAAAAAAATACGAAGGAAGATAGCTGTTTAAAGTTTAATTTGTTGTCACCCAGCGAATTGAGAGTGAACGAGTTTCACTTTCGTCGCATATCGGTAGCCACAAACGGGGCATATTAAACGGCAATGAATACTTGTTAATTTACTAATAAACAACAAGGTCGTACACTCCAGTTTGGCCGTGCGATACCCGTTCGACATTGGTTGGTAAGGTAATGGCATTTTGGTCGACGTAAACTTGGTCCGTTCTTATGTATCTAATGATCGAAAACAAAACTGTTGGAAACACGCCTAATATTGTTGCTACTGATGGCAACACTGAGATTCTTGACCATCGCTTAGTGGACGTAGTTAATTCGAATGAATGTATTTTTTTTTTATTTTTTTTTATTGTTGTAACAAAATCCACAGCACTTTTTTTAAATATATATAAATATTATTACTAAAACTTAAAGCCAATTTGGATTTACATTATTCTGGTAAATTATTTAAATTACGACAGTAGAAAACATGAAAACTTTTGATACTCAGGCATTGTTATGGATTATTTATACGTGCGTGCTTGTGTGTGTGTGTGTGT